AGCATTTTCTAATAAGTAATATATATCGTGTTTTAAACCGTTCAAGTGTTTTTAAACGTGTACCACTCCCGTAAACGACAGACATTAATGCGACATTCTAAAAATGTATATAGAGATGATATTACTTCACGTAAAATTTCCACACTATAAAATTATATGGCTCTCTGGTATTTACTATATTCAAACGTGATCTAAGAATACCGTAGTATTACAAGCTTCATTGAGGTTGCTTCCGGTCGCCTAAGTGTGGGCGTCGACGGCGCCTCGCTGCCTCGTGTGGATTCCATAAATCCGTTCACAATGACCACGACGACTTGTCAATGATTTAAACAATTCAATGTATGCAAATTTATGGCGATCAGGTACGCATTGTTTAGAATTTATAGACAAGTATAAGCTATCAAAATTTAAAAAATATTACATTTATTCTTATAAATTACGAAAAACATTGATATAGGAAATTATTAAGTTATTTTTATCTTTTCTTAAAACTAAAAAAAGAGGTCCCGGAAGGAAAATGCTTTCTTTGGAAATCGTAGGTATATAGTCGCGTACCTTTTTTGAAAACCTATACTAATAAATAAAGCTGAAGAGTTTGTTTGTTTGTTTGAACGCGCTAATCTCAGGAACTACTAGTTCAAATTGTAAAATTATTTGTGTTAGTTAGAACATTTATCGAGGAAAGCTATAGGCCATAAAACATCGCGCTGTGACTAATAGGAGCGAAGAAGCAGCGGGAAATGTGAATAAAACGGGGGGGAAAATTTCATCTCTGTGGGTTTCCGATGCGGACTCTGCGGAAACGGTTCAAAATGCCCAAAAAATATGTATGAAAAAAATTATTCCTTTTTAAATTATCTAAAAAAATGTCTGCGACACTCAATCTTCAAAGATAGACATACCTCTATCTTTGAAGATTAACTTGAAAGAACGACGGGACACGTCCGTTGTCGATGTCGGATACCAGTATAAATTTATTAAAATGAAGAGCAGGTTTGCAAAAACAAATTGTGATGCCCAAAATAACTATTCTACGCGGACGAAGTCGCTGACACAGCTAGTGCTTTATAATTTGTTACAAGAAAACTCTTTTCTCGTCGAAAAGATATTCCGGGAAAAGAACACTGTTTCGTTTAGTTATTGATATGTACACATACTTTGAAATTTTTGTTTTTCACATGATGGCACTATATAAATTAAAAATCGATTATAAATTAAAAAACGAAATTTGGTTCTGCCCGTATCGTATTTTTTTTAATTATCGATTTTAAAAATTAAAAAAATATACACAGCCCCATAAACATCTCATAAATGTTCTCAGTAATTCTATTTTTAATTTAGCTAGTATTACATTTGTAGCCTGGCAACTCTATTAACAAAGTAGGTCTATAAACTATGGTTGAGTCATAAACACTAGAATTGGACCTAGCCCGTTTTAAAAGCGATTGTGTAAATTGAGCGTTCCGTGACATCACGTTCGTTAAGCGAAAGATAACTAGAGATACACTGACATATTTATTACGATTGACTCAACAGGATATCAGCTTGGAGTAAACTTATCGTGTCAATCATCTATTTTAAAATACGGGATAACGACTGTTCTTGGTAAAATCGTACAATTAATTAGGCTATTAATGTACGAAAATGCAATTTGTATTATTAGATATTGATTACATTATACGGTCCTAGAGGCAGAGTGGTCTAATAACAAAAAACATGAATTTGGTTAAGGATAGAAATAAAAATGCGCAATTAACTTGGGCGAAAATGAATTTGTACTATTATTTGTGTAACAATTTCCTGTCACCGTGCTTTTGTAGATTAACATTTTTTGACTATGAAAATATAAATAACTCAAGTCATAAAATTGCGGTTAGGCTACTCTGCCTCTAACGGCCTCTGTTTTAAACACGAGCATAAAAAGCATATTTATTTATTTATTACAATATGTATACTTACATCTTTAATATTATGACGTTATTATTTATAATTAAAAATAATAGATCCTTAGATCTAAATGTTTTCTTTTAATTATAAAATCAAGATGGAGGGATGGGTAAAAATAAAATCAAAGTAAAATTCGCTTCATAATGTGATATCACTTTTAATTATTTCTGCGATAAATAATAATATTTAACTATCAATATTGTATAAATAATTGTGTGCTACGTACGTTCCTACTCAATGTAGCAGGCTCTGTCAGGCTCCTTAATTGGTACTTGAAACATATTATTGTACACGCGACAGACCGCAAAGATGTATGTAGGTGTGTTGTACTTTTACGCGGTAGCGACTCGACCGATGTTAATCAAAGTGTGTGTTTGAAAACTTTGAAATCTTTCACATGATTAGATTATATACGTCAAAAATCTATTTATATTGGTTAGACTAGCACGGAACCTTCTGAATACCGGTTCAAGTCCCGCCCATGTTGTAAATGTAAATAGATTTTTTTATTTAAAATTATTTGTTGTTTATTTTAAATTTGAAAACTAATATTTTTCACATGACACTATGAAAATTAAAAATCGAAAATAAATTGAAAAAAATTTACGACTCGGGCAGGACTTGTACCGCCGTTGTCAGCGTTCCGTGCTGTTGCTCAAACCAATTGAGCTACCGAGTGACTCGGTAATTTTATTTATTCTATGCCATCACTTTTCAGCCCCAAATTCCTTTATGAATTGAATATACTAATAGGCTAATACGAAGCTTAAATGAAGTGTATATTTTCTTTCTATAAAATAATCATTTCTCAAATTAGACATTAAATACTCCTCGCTCATTACAACTGTAATTCATAAGGACCTATTCATTAAACTCCCATTCAGACTGCCGCATTCAGGAAAGTTTGAGAGAAATTAATTAAAATAATAAATTACGCAGTAACAAAGATTGTGGCGGAGACGCGGAGCCCCGAGGAAGGAGCAGCTCGTTAAGCCCCGAATGACAATGACGTGGAAACGGTGTCACTTACCGCGTGAAAATTTTCGAGTTTTATAACTATGTGGGTTAAGAACGGAGCGCGGCTTGTTAAATTGACAGCACCTACATCCAGGTTACAGTTATAATAGGCGGTTGGCTTATCATCGTCGGGCGCGGATATATTATGTTGTTTTGTGATAGAGGTGGACAGACAATCGTGCGATTCACTAGATGGTACTCCAGCCTTGTAATCCACAGACTGAAAACGAAACGCAATTAAACTTGACAGCTTCATCTGTGGACAGTGGTTCGTGAGCTGGACGGAATTTCGATATTCATACCATCCATTTGATATCCAGTTTTCCAAGTCGAACGTGCATCAGAAAATTTAAATAAAACACTTTAACGGTTTAAAACGCGATATTAGTTAAACTTATTTGAAAATGATTGTCTCCCCGTGTCCACGGCTGCTGCAAAGCATCCGAAACGTCGGGCCGAAGTTAAAAGTCAGTGTCAAATAAGTTTAACTAATATATCGCGTTTTAAACCGTTAAAGTGTTTTATTTAAATGTGTACTACTCGCGTAAACTATAGGCAGTATGCGTCAGAAAAATTATAAATTGTTGGATCCTGTGGGAATTGCAGCCGCGACTTGTTGATTGTTAGCCATTCATTGCTACTATTACCCAACCGAGCGATTAGTATTTCCTTTAATTTGGAGGTAAGGTATTACCTTCTCCTTCACTTATATGTGACATGTTGTGAATGGATAGAGTAATGTCTATTAATAGGTACTTGTTCTGAACATCCGGTCAGTATTGACGTGGCAAGATATGACATTATCAATAAAAGTGTTTATGGTTACACACACTAGCTTTTTTTCAATACTAGAAATATAATTGAGTTACAATTCAACTTGAGTAAAACAATTTAAACAGTGTAAACCGCAAAATATATCAGTTGATTGCATTTTAATGACGATTCGTCGTTTCGGATGCTTTCCGTAGTGACAAAGGTTACATAATATAAAGGTACATTTTCAATATCATAGACTTGAAAAGCTGTTAAGTATGAAAATAACTATGATAAAAATAATGCGGTAACTCTAAGTCTGATAAGTCTGATCTAACTTGCCGGTAAATAAAGAACTACCCTCCATAGAGTTTTTAATCCAGATTACATTATCAAAGCTTCACGTTATTAGAACTCCAAGTTCAAATAAAACTAAAACCTCGTTGCCTCGGCCATAAAGGGGGTGGGGGATTTCAGTCAACGTCCGTGAAGGGATTAAGGTCGGGCGAAATGAAATTCCTGGGAGCTCGGTGAAATAGGAGCGTGGCTGTATGCCGTCATGGGACCAATAAATATCTGATCCTAATGAGGTTGGAGGTGACGGATGAAATATTTGGATACCGGATGCCCCGGCACATTCCCGGCTGGCATTTATACGAATTCTCCTTTTAATGATAGGACGTAAGATTCCTTATTATACTTAAAAAGCAATTATAACAATTAGCTGACCTGGAATACGTTTTGCCACAAGAAGTACTTCGTTATTTAATTACCATAAAACGGTTCTAAAATTAATTTAAGGTATACTGTCGCGGACATTTTTTAGATTATTGAAAGAAAAATAATTCTTTTACACATATTTTTTGGGTAACTGGAATCATTTTCGACGTTTTCACTATTTACACATTATACATATTACTTACACAATAGGAGCTTCTACAATAAATGGTCCAGCCAATACAGAAAGATTGTTTCAAATCGAACCAGTAGTTACTGAGATTAGCGCGTTCATCAAACGAACTTTCCGCTTTATAAATACGTTAATATATTTCGCGTAATTACCGTTAAAAATGTTTTATTTAAATATAAAATTTTGGCGCAAACTACAGATATTATATAACTTGTACATCTTTTAGTACTAAATAATATTTTCGATATTTCGGCATTATTGTTGTTATGCGTGCCGTAAATTGGATGTCGCCGACTTTCTTTATGCGCCATTGTCTTATTGTGCAACGATATTTTACGGTGTTGATCCTAAAAAGTTGTATCTTTGTTGTCAGGCTACTTCGGCAAATACCTGAACAAATATAATGGCTCATACATTCCGCCCGGCTGGCGCGAGTGGGGCGGCCTCATCATGAACTCCAAATATTACAACTACAGCATCAATATGAATGGCAAGAAGATCAAACATGGCGATGATTATTTCAAGGTATCTTTTTTTATATAATTCCCACAGCTGGGACACGGACCTTCATCTGCTATGAAGACGCATGTTGACAGGTGTGACATATCGTCAACATTTTTGGTTCTAAAGATGCTTCGGTTTTATAACGAGGATCGATCGAGGATTTATTGTATAACATTATTCGAAAAGTTTAATATTTTTACATGTTATTGCACATGATTGCATTATATAAATAAAAAAACGATTGAAAAAAAAATACGTTACCTTGTAGCACGGAACGCTGATACCAGCTTCAAGTCCCTGCCGTGTCGTAGATGTTGTCAATCTAAAATCGATCTTTAATTTAAAAAATATTGACAGAAGCATTCCAGCTTTAAACGAACCGAATAGAGACTCGAACTATTTATTTAAATGAAATATTTTTTTAATGGCATTGCCTGTTAAAATATAACTTAGGCTATCTTTGACTTTCATTACAAATAGCAGCTCGAGACTGTATTAGTAATTTTCCTACAGCACTAGTCTGAAATCTAAACAATGCTGAACTATGACGATGTTGGCGCTGAGCCAGTAACGAATACAATTGTTCTAGGATTACTACCCAGATCTAATTGCGAACGATTCGATAGCGTTCCTTCGAGCTTCAAAGCGAAGATTCTCCAGAAAACCTGTACTGCTGGTTATGTCTTTCCCTGCACCACACGGCCCTGAAGACTCCGCGCCACAGTATTCGCATCTATTTTTCAATGTGACAACACATCAGTAAGTTTTTCGTCTTGATATTAGTACCATCGAAGTCTAGGACATAGAATCTTATCATCGGATCTTTGGCCTGGCTCAGTGGTTAAACGCATTATCTAGAGGTGCGTTGAGCATGCGTGGTTTCAGATTCGAATCCTGCGAAAATAAATTTATTTCGGACTAAGAAATGTATCTGGCTCATTAGGAGGGGGGTCCTTTTTTATAATACATGTAATTCCGCTAATACAATAGCATTTTTTAGTTCTTTTTTTAATAGAAGAGGGCAGACAAGCGTAGGGTTTACTTAATGGTAAGTAAAATACCCGAGCCATAGTATCCCAAAATGATGCGCCTACGTCGACCTATTTCGGCTTTTGGAACTTCACAGTCTGAAACCGAAACGCGATTAAACTTAACTGCTCTTTCACCAGTGTTTTATTTTTGAATAAACCAGCATTCCTTAACATCATTTAAGCATTTGCTTCAAAAAGTATTTCAACAAAAACTACCTAATTGTTTCGGCTTGAGAGCCTGGCGGCCATCTTACATCCCTTAAATGTTTTAAGGAGTTGACCGTGTTTTAAAGGACCCCTTTAGCGAAGGAACTTCACTCAGTTTGTCTGCGTCGGAAGTTATTATGTTAATTGCGTCTCAAAATAAGAATACTTATATATGTTTGTGCTTAAAACGCAAAGCGAGTAGATTTTATATAAATAACAAACATACAAAAGTATCTTGGGTGTTAAATACTGTCTGTAGTTTACACGAGTAGTACATTGGAATAAAAAACTTTAAGGATCCCCATCTAATGAGTATATTGGCGTTTGAAACGCCAATATACTCATTAGATGGGGATACCCATGGCCACAGCTGCTGCAAAGCATCCGAAACATAAGGGCTGTAGTTAAATAATTTTCAAATAAGTTGTAATAATATATTTCACGTTTTAAACCGTTAAAGTGTTTAATTTAATGTGTACTACTCGCGTAAATTACAAACAGTGTTTAACATTTAACATCCTAGATACTTTTGTGTGCTTGTATTTATATAAAATCTACTACGATCTACATCAAGACGTATTGAGTTCTATACTTCCATTTGAAACGTTTAAATCCAGCTTGACGGTTTACAGTTTATTTTTTATTTTATGGCCTCTCTAAAGATATTTATAAGTTTTGCGTGCGCCGCTTCGGCGCCTAATATCAAAGCCTATCCTTGGGCTTTAGACTGACTTTTTAAATTCGATAAAAGCATAAGGAATTAAGGGCGTACTTTCGAATTATTTATTTTTAATTTAATTAACTAATAAATGTTTGACAACAAGACTCGCGTTTATAAAGTTTTTATTTAAAAAGTTCTGAGCCGCTCGACCCTTATGTTGGTTTAAGTAAAACCAACTTTTTGGCTTCGACTCTTAATCAAAAAGCCAAAATGTTAAGAGGATAAGCAAAAAATCGATAAAACAAAATGTCCGTCGTCTCTTGAAATAATCTTCGTTATGTGTGGCCACCAAACCAGTCCCAAGGGCCGCGCCGACAAACGGGATCGCAATAAAAAGTGCATGAATAAAAAGCATTTTAATTTTTAAATATTATAATGATCACTAAATCAATATAAGAAACGATAACATTGCTTAATTTTGTTTGTGGCTTATCGAGGCTTTATCAAAGTTTATATACAATATAATTAGTGTGCTTTTAAAGGCTTAAATTTTATTTTACTTCAAATACTGTTTTGTGTGTTTTGAATTGAACCCGATCTAACTCGGATTCTGGTATATTTTTAATGTTGTTTCGCGTAATATACACTTGATTAGTTGTCTTCTTAAACAGCATGACTCAGTGTTCTAATATTTTAAAATATCACTATTGTTTTTAATATTCAGCAAAATAATCATTCCCTTACTTGTAATAATTTTTTACCAGTATGGTTCATGAGATAGTCTGTTGACATACAAACGAACAGTGGTATTTTTTTTTGATAGAGGAGGATAGACAAGTATGAGGTCCACCTGATGGAAGTGAAATACCCCAGCCATAGATCTAAACGAGATGTGTAGTCGACTTATTTTAGCTTCGGAAATCCACAAAATAAAATTAAAATATCTGTGGAGGGTGGTTCGTGGACCCGACGGTTACGATACTCCTACCCCCCCCCCCCACCCCCACTTTAACATGTTTTGTAAGTATTATAAATTGGAAACATGTCGTACCCGGTGGGAATCAAACCCACGACCATTCATCATATGACCGGTTGGCATATAAAACGAACAGCGGAATTACAGTAAAGTTTGTATTTGGGATAGACTTTTGATTTTGGGTATTTTTCAGCACGCCCACATACGACATGGCGCCGAATCCTGACAAGCAATGGATACTGCGAGTCACGGAAAAGATGAAACCCATACATCGTCAGTTCACCGACCTTTTAATGACGAAGCGCTTACAAACATTGCAAAGTGTAGATTTGGTACGTTGTATAGAATATATATTGACTAAAATTGTAGTGGCAACATATTCAATTTAGATATATTTTTAAGCTAGATTAAGAGAATAGTTCCAATAAATGTTGTCCTAAGTTTTACTTTCTTTGTTAGTAAATATAGGCAGTTTAATAATACCGCTTAATACTATCTATCTATCTCATTCTATCTATCTATATCATCTAACATTTATTTAGCCTACGATGTTTTTATGATAGGGCAAAACAGATAGGCACGAGGTTCACTTGATACGACATCTGAACAAGATGTGCTGTCGACCCTTTTTTGGCTTTGGATATTTGGAATCCACAAACTGAACCCGAAACACGATTAAACTTGACAGTTTTTCCATCAGTGAACGGTTAAAAATCGGTGGTCTTTGATTCAATATCCAGAATTTTAATTTAGTGATGAAGTCCAGCATGTTTCAGAAAAATATAAATTTAAATAAAACACTTAAACGGTTTAAAACGCGATATATTAGTTAAACTTATTTGAAAATGATTTTTAACTTCGGCCCGACGTTTCGGATGCTTTGCAGCAGCCGTGGTCACGGGGAGACTCTCCGTGTGTGAATGTAAGCAATCTATGTGTAAAAGATGCACGATAAATAAGTTGACAAAATTCGTCGATGACGAGTGGGATTCGGTAGCTCAATTATAATAGTTAGAGAACGACACCGAACGCTGTGGCTTAAGTCGTGCCGGAGTCGTAATTTTTCGATTTGTAAATTGTATATATGTAAATTCATGTTTTCAGGCTGTAGAACGTGTATACCAGGAACTGAAAGCGTTGGGTGAATTGGATAATACATATCTCGTTTATACTTCGGACCATGGTTATCATTTGGGACAATTTGGACTCGTGAAGGGAAAGAGTTTTCCTTTTGAATTTGACATCCGCGTCCCGTTCCTTGTTCGGGGACCAGGAGTCGAACCCGGCACTGTGTAAGTAGTGAGAGTTTTTATATTGTATATACACGTAAGATGCAAGGAGACGGATAAAATAATTAAGTATGGTAGCAACACCACGTACGACCAACATCGTTGATTTGATTTGCCGTTATAAGCAACTTTATACTAATAACTTGCAGAACAAAGTAATTTATACTGTAGCCATTCAAGTGTTCATTCCAAGCAGAAAATTATGTCAATCCATTAAAGAATTAGAGGATAAGCCCTTTGACTCCCCTATTTAAATAGAGTTGTAATGTTATTAATTAGTTTGATATCACATTTTACCTGTGTGGGTTATATGGGGCAGATATACCTACTTATATGACCATGTTCGCCTTTAACCAGATGGTGTTGCCTTGCGTTAGGCGGGGGAGGTCCAGGGTTCCAAATTCAAACAATTTATTGTTTCCCCGGTCCCCTGTAAAAGAACTGAAAGTGAATCGGACAGTGAAATTGTTCGCCCTTGTGTGGAATCCTGTATCCCAGCGTGGGAAACACGATTTTTCACACATACTACTGATTCTTTCTTCCCAAATTGTATAGTTTTTAATACCGTCTATAGTTTACACGAGTAATACAAATTTAAATAAAACACTTGAATATATTTAAAGCATCAGAATCGTCGGGCCGTAGTTCAAATATTTTTTAAATAAACTTAACTAATATATTTCGCGTTTGAAACCGTTAAGGTTTTATTGTTTTTACGGGTTCGAACCTCCTGCGCTTTTCAACTGAGGTATAAAGACAATGCTCAAATCGTGTAAATATGTTTTCTCTAGTATGGTATTGTTCATTACAGCGTGGATGACATCGTGCTGAATATAGATTTGGCCCCGACGTTCCTTGATATGGGAGGCGTAGACCCACCAGCGCATATGGACGGGCGCTCGCTGTTGCCCCTTTTACAGCCTCGACGAAGAAGAGCTGCTGCAGCGCACTGGCCTGATACCTTTTTAGTGGAAAGGTAAAGCTTAAATACCACGTATTTTTCACTTCACTTATTCTTACATTGAGGCTTACTTAGATTTAACATTTTTTTTTTAAATATAAATGAGGACAGACAAGCTGGGCTTCGCTGGGGTGGGTTCGATTCCCACTGGGTCCAAAATTTTTTAATTAATTAATAATTTTTCTAAAACATGTTGGACTTCGTCTTGCAATCTGGATAATTAATAAGTGGAATATCGAAACTCCGTCTGGGTCACAAACCAATCCATAGTCAAAATAGATCGATAGCGCATCATATTTAGATGCCAAGGCCATTAAAAAAACACTCACACATACCAAATTGTAACGCAACTCTTGTATGTCACTTCTTAGTTCTGGACGTCGTGAAACTCAAGCGCACATAATCGAAGAACGACTTCGTGCTCAGAAATACAGTAAAGAAATGAACGAAAGAGCGACGAGTCCGCGTCCTTACGAGACGTCATCGGAGAGCGGAGATTTCGATTACGATTCTGAAGATGACTTCTTGGAACTCGAAGAAGACGACAATGAAGATGACGTAAGTTATATGTTTTACCTGTACTAGCTGCGTCGCCGGCGTGGAATAGTTACCTTGGACATCAAATTTATTTTGTCAACCTCCTCTGCTTTATAAATTGTTACCCATGACGTCGTCTGCGTCTGTATAATTGCGAGTTAATCATAAACCTTGTTCACATTTTTTTTTGGTTCCTTGGACCGTTTTCGTAGCGTATGCATCAGGAGCGCTCAACTTCCACTGCTATTGGTCACAACGTGATTTTATATAGCCTCCCTCCCTTTTTCCACACTCTCTCGATAAATAGTCTATCCAATATAATAACATTTTTTCAATTCGAGCCAGTAGTTCCTGAGATTAGCGCGTTTAAACAAACTCTTCTGCTTTATAATATTACCATAGATAGGTTTATGCCTTTATGCAAAATTTAAAAAGCATCTATTACGATTAAAACCTACTTATTTGAAGTCTTTGTTTCCCTCATACTAAAAAGTTATCTACTAAATTGCCCTCTCAGGCGAGTGACATTAATAAATCGTCCGAACCATTGATGTCAAATGAAAGCCATAACCCAATTTTGGAAGCGAGCTTGGAGAAGGTTCTGGAAGCCGACGATCCCGCGTCCAATGAACAAAATTCCTATGCAGGTAAATTAACTAAAAATAATAAGTCATTCATATAGAGTAGGTACATATGTATATTATGAAATGAAATACGTTATACTGTCTGTAGTTTACGCGAGTAGTACGCATTTAAATCAAACATTTTAAACGGTTTAAAACGCGATATATATATTATATTTGTTAAACTTATTTGAAAATTATTTTAATCACTGCCCGACGTTTCGCGTGCTTTGCTGCAGCCGTAGTCACATGGAACCTTTTAAATAATATACATTGTGTTTTAAATGGTTGAAAGTGTTTTATTTAAATGAATATTTGAAAGATTTATTATTTTTTACATTTTATTGCACTATACAATTTAAAAATCGAAAATAAATTGAAAAAATTTTCAACTCGGGCAGGACTTGAACCGAATTCAATTTATTTTCGATTTTTAAATCAAATGAATATGTTTATTAAATATAGGAAACAATTGTATATAAAGTAACAATACGGAGTGACAAACTTAATGTAAATATTTCGATATTTTAGAATCCCTTGAATCTAGCATAATAAATGGGAAAGCGGCGCGATTAGCAGCAGAATGTTCTAAAGCTGAATTAAGAGCTCCATGTTCCGACAAGCGCAAGTGGAAATGCGTGCTGGTACATGGCCGTTGGAGGAAACATAAATGTAAATATGAGGTACGAAAAAAATACTATTACATATATCTATTACTAACAAACAAAAAAGTAATTTTTACCTTTTCGATTTAAATATTAATAACTAGTTACTTTAAAACAATTGGCCATTAACGCTATTACCTTGCCTTGTATGTTTAATGGTTTGTATTTAAGTTGTGTAAGAATAAAATAAACTATTGTTACAGCCAGACGTTATTGAACCTCAACCAAAAATGAGCACTAAAAAATGCGCCTGTTTCACCCCCAGTGGTTTAGTATACACCAGATTAGAAACCGACGGTAATATAGCAAGACGACCCGTCGATATAAACAGCGTAAACATAACCAGATTCAGACGCTCGACAGACAATGACGTATTTGAACCAAATACGGTAGAAAGTATTCTAGAAGAGAACCCCAGTATTGGACACTTAAGTTTTGATAATGAACCATTAAATGAAATGGATAAAAAAACAGTCGAAGACAAAGTAGATGAACTCATCAAAGAGACTGAAGCCTTTTTAGAAGTTTATGAACGTACCAAAGAAAATATAGGTCATAGGAGAATTAAGAGGAAAGCTCAACATTTAAATCATAATAAATTAAAACAAAAGAATGAAGCTATGGTTAATGATAATGATTCATCCCTAGAATGCAAAGTTGAGAAAGACGGTAAAGTCAATTGTTCTCAAGTTATTTATAATGATTTGAAAGCGTGGCACACAAACAGATTGAGTTTAGAAGATCAAATAAGACAACTTAAAACTAAACTAGAAGATTTAAAAGAAATCAAGAGACACTTGAAAAATAGTAAGCCTGCTCAAGTTGAAGTCCAGACAATAAATCCATCATTCATAATAAATCGTGAACAAAACAAAACTGCTTCTCCAGATAATAAAGATGCAGTCCGAAAAGTTCGCCTACATAGGCTTAAAACTAAACATAGAAATCCAAACTATTACGAAAAAAAGCTAAAACAAACAAACGAATATAGTGTACCCACTGTGAACACAAATATAAAAGATGACCTATTTGAAATACAGTTAAAAAATAATACGACAACCGACACATCTAATATTTATGAATTACGCCCGGCAAACGAAAGTGATTTTATAAATTTGAATCAATCACTCGAAGCTTTGCCGAAACCCCAAGTTACTACTATTATAATAAATAATGAAAAATATCTAGACGTTAATGAGCCTTCAAGCACCTTACAAAGCTTTACTAACCTTGTTGAAGACTTAACGACTGAATATACCAAAATAGTTGAAATGGCTAGTACAAAAGAAGATATTGTGAAGGATCCGACAACTACTGATAGAACTCCAATTACAAATAGTATATACACAACAGTGAAACACTTAAATTTCGAGGCTAATAGAATGATAAATAAACATCCAAATGTTAAAAACAAAGGAACGACTACACAAATACCTCACTTCGTTTCAAAAATAAAGCCAGTAGTGTCGACTGTAAGCAGTTTAGGACCGACACGGTTCGATGCGTCCGAGTACGAGAAACAAAATCCAAATAAGGGTGCACCAACTAACATGGATATATTTACTCAACCTACTGACATATTTCAGAGAAGACTTCACCCACTATTTATTGAGAATGAAGATAAGCACGTTTGCTACTGTGAGGAAAGTCGGTGAGTTAACTTCAACAAAGTACATAATTTTAAAAAATTAATAAAAGGTATTTCCATGTAAGTTTTGATAACAAATATTAATTATGTCAACAGCAAACTCAAAGGTCCAGGGCAGGCATATTTGGAAGCAGCTCAAAAAGCCAAAGAAGAAAGACGGAGACTCAAAGAACAGAGACTGCGTAAGAAGCTAAGGAAAGCCAAAAAGAAGGTAAGTTTTAAACTTTCCAATAAATTAAGTCGATAGACACGGGGTAGATATCTTTTTATGTATTTTATATATGTTTTATTATGTTTATATATGTTGGTATTGGCTGGCAACACTTGAATTGCAAAGATATTTAGATTGTTCTATGCTCTATTTAAAATTCGCAAGATATTGTTTTATTGTATAAAACAAATCAAGTCTTTTCTCGACACGCTGGGTGACGCCATGTTAGGGATTTTTTTATACTGAGTAATGTTTATTCCATATTAAAGAGTAAAGTAAAATAGTGTAAATATATGTACATCTAAAAGTATGAAGTTCTTAAACCTCACTACGTATCACTAATGGGGGAGGAGGGGTTTAAAAATTCTAAAAAACGGTCACGTGATTAATGTACAACCCCTAAGATACGGAGGCGTCATAATCTTTATTAATTCCAGGCGGAACTAGAGAGGTTATGCGAGTCAGAACGAATGAATTGTTTCCGGCATGATAATGAGCATTGGAGAACAGCGCCGTTGTGGACGGCTGGACCATTTTGTTTTTGCATGAGCGCATCGAATAATACGTACAACTGTGTCCGCACTATTAATGCGACGCATAACTTATTGTACTGTGAATTCGTAACCGGCCTTGTAACATATTACAACTTACGTATCGGTAAGTTTTATTCTTCATATACATATATATATATAGCACTTACGTTTTTCAAACGTTATGTTAACAATGGCTGAATAAAATCTCAATACTTCATCTAGCGTCTTTGTCCAGATATTATTTCTTTCTATTAGATAACGAAAGACTAGACTATACTTTCTTCTCTCTGTGTATTTAAAAAACATAAGCCTAGCGTCTACACTGAATGCTAGAGTCTAAACTATTTAAATGGACATCGTGTCCCAAAAATAATCGTCTAGTGGTTTTCTAAGGAACATTTTATATTGCAGATCCCTTCGAGACACAGAACAGAGTGAAGTATTTAACATCAGCTGAAAAAGATTACTTTCATAAGCAATTACAACAGTTACTGAGCTGTCGGGGTCCGTCTTGTAGGCGATTTTCACATTCTTCCGGTAAGCAAAGCTTTGTGAAATTTTACAATTTGTAATTGAAATGCAAAAAAAAAATCAGTAGTACAGACAAGTAAACGACTCAACGCAAAAAATACGTAGCTAAAAAAAGTGTTCGTTTTCTAAAAATATTTTGTTGACCGAATGTCGTGGTTGACTAATTAGTAAACGTTGCGTATAACTGCTGACAATAAGAAACAATATTTTTCTAGGAAACAGCAATGAAGAGTTTACTAGACGATACGTTGATGACCATATCACATACAGAGGAGACAGTCCAGGATATAACGAAAGGTTAGTTACTTCTTCAAAACATTAGATTTCATCTTTAAAAAAATTTTACGCAAAAACCCTTGTTTTTTCGGTTTCAGATGAAAATGTCTTTGTTTCACATGTTATTTTTATCACGGCACACGATGCTGTTATAAGAATAAAAATCGATTTTAGATTGTAATTTTACGAGACAGACAGGATTTCACCGGAATCGAGAGCGTTCCGTGTTGCTCTAACCAATTGAGCTACCGTGTCAAAAATCGTAAATTTTAATTCGAACATTTACATAGTTTGTCTACTTAGTTATATTATAATTATGGAATAATATTATTTAATTATGGATATAAATCAATAACACAGAACGCTGTGGAAGCCGGTTCAAGACCGGCCCGTGTCGTAAAGATTTTTAAATCTAAAAACAATTTTTAATTTATGAAATATCTCTTCGTCTTTTGAGGCCACCTCCAACTGCTTCCATTGCACTCTGCTACTCTTGTCTAATAGTGTACCAATGGAATCTTATTGAAATTAGTAAACCAATTGTTAATTTTCTAGAGCATGGAGATGGAGTGGCTACGGCAGACGCTTTGCCAGAGCTCGGGAGTTGCACCGTCGCCGCCACCTGATGGCGTATTAGTGAATCTATTTATTTAATTGAAGCCTTAGAAATTGCTTATTTAGAATAAGAGGCCCTGATAGTATTCTTCATTTTGTAATGCTCATGTAGACTTATACTTACGGACTGAAAACAATAATATATATCTACTATGTTACAGAGAAATTAAACTTTTTTGGGAAAATAATTTTTAAAGTTGAATGATACAAGTTATATCAAATATTCTTTTTCACAGCTAAATACGGTGCATATGCAAATAATATTTGATGTTGAAAATTACCCCAAATTAACCAACTTTTGCTGCTGCTGCTGTATTTTTAAGTATAATATACCTATTTAAATTTAACGCGATTACAACGATTGTTAAGGGCTTCCTGAATGTATAAGTCAAAAATTATATCCTTATATATAAAGTTTAATGTCTGCGTTTTAATCTATATCTGTGATTTTTCTGTCTTATTAATCTAAGTTGTATCTGTAGTTTACACAAAATAGTACACGTTAAATAAAACATTTTTAACGGTTTAAAATAAGAACTTTATTCGTTATTAATTTATAATAATTAAGACCCGGCGTAAGTGGTATCCGTTTTAAACCCTTAAAAAGCGATTTACTTATTCCTGTATCAATGGTGATACGTTTACTGTATTTTCATTAGTCATGGTCAATATATGTTATATATTTCCCCTACTTTTGTTGTAAACTTAAAAAAAACGAGTTAATTTGTGACACTGCCTGAAGTATTATAATCTGAAGTAAGAACGCAGTCTCGATAGATATTATGTAATGCCTTTCCTTAAATACTAGGTACTCAGGTTTTTCATAACATTAGGTACATTTGTAAAATGAGCTGAAAAATGTAAACATAGCAAAAATGACATACTATTCCTGAACCTATAAAGATGTGCAGCCATGGAGTCTTAATGCGGAATTATGAAATGTACACTGGTAAATTTTCCAAAATGTTTTAAAGGGAAAGTTTGGTTAAGTAAAAAAAAAGAGCTTAGTATCATTATTAGTGTGTGGGTGACAATATGGTTATGTTACCTGTATAGTGTTACTCTGTTTGTCTTCATCTGTATTTCTTTATAGATTCATGATACTAATAAAAGTGATAAAAATTTGTTGCCATGTGATGAGAATGGTTGTTTATTTAAATGCTTGTAGATTTTAAATGTCGTGTTTTGCAAGTGCATACATAAACACAACTGCAATTTTGGTTTTAAAATTAAAACAATCTAAAACAGTATTTTTTTATTTAAATATCCAAAATATTGTCAATATCTTTATAATCAGTAATTGAAAATAAAAAGTTATTTACTTCCAAATTATGTTTGTCAATATTTAAGCATAATTTAACTTCAAGAGAGTTACATCCATCAGGCATTGTTGTATTTGCTTCATTTACAGAATATTTATTATTGCAATCACTTAGGCTTTCATTTATTGTACAATCTTGCTCAGAATCAACAAAATTTGTCCATTTGGATACATTTTGTTTCCTAAACAATGACTTATTTGTCTTGTGTATAGTTTCTCCATAACATTGTTCCTTTGGTATCACACCTAGATCATTCTTGTTGGAAACACTTTGTATATTAATCTTACTTATCGGCTCACTATATCTAGACTTTAAAGATAGGTTAAAATTCTTTCCTTCATGTTTACTCTTTTGATCATCAAGTAAGTTGTCTATAGTCACATTGCTTGAATTACAGTTATTTTCAATATCTGTATATGTAGTTTTTGATCTCTTTGCTGCATTAATAGGCGTAACCTCTAAATCATCACTGTTCTCAATATATTGTGACCATTTGCTGTTATTCTTAGATTTAACAGTATCAAGAGGAATATTGCATGGCTCCTCTCCCTCAGTATCTGAAGAACTGATTTCGGAAGATTTATGCTGGTCACCTTGCATTTTATTTAGTTTTTGGACATGCATTCTACATTCTTTTCCTGTACCAATACCATAATGCCGCTTTACCGATTGTTTTTCGCTACAAATTTTGCACTGCCATTTATTACTCTTTTTCCTTTGGTGTATCTGAGTAAAGGTTAATATAAAAGTATAGCTTTAGCCTACTATAATAGGCTAAAGCTATACTTTTTAGTGTATGTACCTATAGACTTTTATTAATTAGATGTCAAAATTATATATAGGTACTAGTTTTGAGATAACCACAAAACAAAACTACCAAAAAACTAAGACATTAAATTGACTAAGGCGTATTTAAACACCTAAAGATGTTGATAACTGTCATATCATGGGGCTATTATGGTATATTAACAAACCATGATACAGTTATATATAAAGTTACTTACTTGAAAAATAAAGCACTTGTAACATCGTAGAACCTGAAAAATCTGAGACATAACTATCGGTTGCGGTTTAATCTAACTAATAGCAGCAACCGAATAAAATAACTAAACATAGGACAAAGTTAATAAATTACACAACTAAGTTTATTCAAATTATTATTGTAAGAGCCGAATAGTAAATTGCAATATAATATTTACAAACAAATCTATAGATACAACAACAAACGTGACAATAAAAACAACAATTCGTCAGAGGAAGTCCAGACCACAGATAAAGTTGTGCAACAGATTATAAAATAAGTAGTAAAAATTGAAGATACGGTAAAATGAGTAAAACCACAGACCCTCATAATTAATATTCATAAAAGAAGAAAGAAAGTACATAATGTACTTTTAGTAAGAAAAGTCTTATGAAAAGTAATTTACTTTATGTACATAAGTCTTATTAAATAAATAAGGGTAAAGAATAATACTTCCTCAATTAATAAGATTTTACTGAGACACCATTTTTCGTAATACATAATCATCACAGTTTTCTTATACACATCTAATTAAGTTAGTAAGTACACAATTTGACACGACATTTTATAAAGGTAACTTATAATATCGTTTGGCGGGAAAAAAAATTGTCCCATAGTATTAATTAGACACGGCACTTATTTGAAACAAAATTGGGACGGGTTAAGTACTTTGATTGCATTGTTTGCTGGTCATACGTAAGAAAGTAATGCGATTAAACTACTACAGATACAAACAACTACAGTGCTCTCCAAACTTTTTGGCCGTGCTGAAGTTAGCACGGATGGTTGCGCAGAACGCAAAAAGCAGGTATCAGTTGCTACAAAGGAAGTGCGCGGGTCAAAGTCAAGTCCCCCCACTTGACTTTTTGCTTAAAATTGACAGTACGTTGGGCAAGATGGCGGTCGCGCTAACTTCAGACCTGCCACAAAAGGTTGGAGAACCGTACGTATTTAATTAATCTGTAGTTTCTTTAAAAGGAGTGTTTAATGAAGGGTCTTAGATTTATTTTATTTTAGTTAAATAGATAGATGATACTATTTTTTTAGTTAGTCACTGAAATATATATATGAAATAGTATATACCTTCATCTGAGACTATATCCTATATCAAGTTAGATCAATGTTTGTAAACCTTTACCTGGAGTTATATTACACATATATACACTATTATTTACATACCATATTATTTCATTTTTCTGCATTGGATATCAGCATTTTCGTTTCTATGTTGGTTTCTGCATGTGACGTCTCATATACGTAACTCCGTGTAATAAAATGGAATTAGTAGAAATTATTTTTCAATAAATCCGTAAATATAAACAAGAAGACTAAGTGAAATTAAAAACATTTAATTTTGTCTTCGTTTTTAGCCAATTAATATGATAAAACTTGCAAGTTATTATATAAGATTTGTATTATATTATGAGCATAAATAAAGGGAAAGAGTAGTGACAACGGTAAACGATTTTTTAAAGAATGAAGTATAGAGAGTGAACATACCTACTTCATGAATTGTTCATAAGATTCAACGGATAAGAATTGCAATGACTATCTATTCTAATATTATAAATGCGAAAGTAACTCTGTCTGTCTGCCTGTCTTTAACTCCGAAACTACTGAACTGATTTAAGCGAAATTTGGTATACAGATATTTTAAAGCCTGAGAAAGGACATACTTTGCCAAAACAGGATTGATAGGGTTTGAAAATGGGGATGAAAGATTGAATGGAAATTCGTGGTTTTTAAAGTTAGAACAATGAAACTTTCTTCTTTGGCTTTTTAGGAGTAGGGGTGGGAGTTACCTTAGGAGTGATGTGAGGTGAGAGTGTTGCGGTAAAGTTGTACTTACAACATAGATTGGCTGCCCTAAATGCGGCCTTACATAAATTAATAAACAGCCTAAACATATAAAAATTCTACCCCAAGTCACTATTCCACGCTGACGAAGTCGCGGGCACAGCTAGTATACGATAATTTAACAATGAAAGAAATGCGAAATGTTCGCAAACGTATGTTAATAATAGTATCTCTCTTCAATTCTTAACTATTTGCTACGAACAGTGTATTCTCATTTTCTCCTTTAAGTGCTTCCCAAACTTCTATACTAAATTAATTTTGAGCTGTCAAATATTTTGGGTATGGACCGGTTAAAATCGTATGTATCATTATTGACCTATCCTATGCAGAAAAATGCCATGAAAACTACTAATAGATAATCAAAAATATATGTTAAAACATTTATCCGGCGGTATTGCCATACAATAGGAACTAACACGTTTAAAAATCGAGCTTTCAAGCCTGCCTGAAACGTAATTTGCTTAGTAACATCTAAACATCTGTATCTGTATTCTATGCTTAGTTCCACTATATACTACTTGTAAAATATGTAAATAACAAAGAAAATATCGTATTGTTTGGCACAATGAAACGTGGCACAACATTTTGGCACCGTAATTATTAAATTATGGATGTTTCGACGGCCTCAGTTCTCTATATGGGAAACGCGAATCTTTTCGACCAGTCTTTTTAAAAGAGGAACATTTTAGTCAAATTAAGTATGCATAACGGTAGTTCTGCGAGAGTAGCCCCGCCTCGCTGCTCCGTCTCCTTGGGCTTCACACTCCTTGCGCACTCTTGCAATAATATCTGCGACCAATTTCTCCTCTCTGATACGTCTTTCTTCCCACTCACTAGCAGTCCTGATAGAACTATCACCTCCTAAAAATAAGATATTGATTCACGCTATATACCTAACAAGTCTACGCTTAGCCTACCTTAAAAGATATACCTATATTGTCGCCGACTTTTTTTAGATCTTTTACAGAAAATCATTGTTATGGTTTCTATAACCGTTTTCGCAGCGGAAGCATCAAAGATGAATGATTTTCCCCGTTTTTTACCAGATGCCCTTCTGCTTCTTTACTCCTGCATTGGTGGTAGCCTAATGTTTTTTAGGCTAAAGCGTTCCTCAACAAATGGTCCAATCAACAAAAGGAATTGTTCAATTCAAACCACTATTTTCTGAGATTAGTGTAGTACAAACAAACAAACACTTCAGCTTTACAATATTAGTATAGATTTTTTTTTGACGGGAGAACAGACAAACATGAGGTAAAAATCTAATAAAGTAAGTTGTCGACATTATTTGTTGTTTGTATTATTTTTAACGTCCATTGATTAGAAATTGGGACGAAATGTCGTTATTCCTTCCACCCGTTAATTTAATGTCTAGATATTCCAAACGGTGTCTAATATATTAGCGAATATCATTTAAACACGCTGGAGCGATGGGAATCGAACACACGGCCCATTGATACTTTGTGACTATTGGACGATCGGGAATTTCGACAATTCGGCAATATAACCAACGTAAGCGCTTATTAGAATATCATATACAAATGTTTAGTATTTAAAAAACCAACAAATAAATAAACATAGCTTTACCTTTAGTATGACATCGGTAATGCTTTTTCGTGTCTGCCGATTTGGAATTGGTGTTTTTTGTGTTAATTGTATTTTGGAAATTTGGAACGCTCGTTGTAGGTATAGACATTTCGGGATCCGCTTCGTCTTTAACATCCGTGGTGCTTTGTATAACTGGAGTTTCTCTGGCTGAAGTTTCTGATTGGGTATTCGTTAAAATTGGACTGGAATCGGAAAAATCTTCGCTGTGCCTGCTAGCGATGTGGCCGATGTAGCCTAAAACATATTTTCCATACATTCGTTACTTAGTAACGGGTTTAGAAATACTGAAAATAAATAAGGTTACTACCTAATAATCTTACTTGATATTTCATACTAGTTTTTTTATGAAGAACTACAAGAATAGGTTCACTTGATGCGCTGTCGCATGCGCTGCTGCCTATATTGGCTTTTGGTATTAGGAAACGCGATTAAACTTAACGGCTTTTTCATCTGTGCGCAGTGATTCGTGTTCCGGACGGAATTTTCGATATCCCTACCGCCTGTTTAAGATCCACATTTCCAAACAAAGTCCAACATGTTTAAGAAATTTATAAATTGGTTAGAATCATGTTGAACCCGGTGGGGATCGAATCTACGACCCGTTAATTAGTCATACTTAAAATTTTAAAATCTACCACTCTTGCAGGGAGTCATTTTGCGTCCTCCCCCATGTATTATTATTAAAATAATGTATCTTTTACTAAGTAATAACTCACCTTTCCTGCTCTTAAAATATACACGACACTTATCACACTGGAATAACGGAGCTGGGTTTAAGGGATGTATTATATGTACTTTATATTTATGTCTGTACCAGTGCGTTCGACTCTGAAGCACTTCTCCGCAAAGCTTACAGATGACTCTGCCATCGTTTCGAATCATGTATTCCAAGAGATCGCTCCTAAACGTAGTGTCTTTTGCTTCTTCTTGAGCGTCTCCAAAATCAGCCTTATCACAATCACTAGGTATTTGTTCTGATAGGAAATGTATACCAGTGTCCTGACTCTCGTCTACTGTCTCTGGGGATTGGTCGTCGTTATTATCGCTCGAACAATTTGTGTCATTCTCAGTAGACAACACTTCTAATGTTATAACTGGGAAATTGCTATCCACGTCGTCATAGTACGTAGTTTGATATTCTGAAATTAATGTGGTGAGGATAAAATATTTAAAAATATTAATATTTTCCACACAATGGCATGGCATACATCAAAAATCGAAAATAAGTAGAAAAATGTACGACTCGGGCAGGACCTAATTCGGCGACGGCGGGTTAGAACAACAGCACGGACCGCTGACGATGCCGGTTCAAGTCTTGCTCGTGTCGTATTTTTTTCAAATTATTTTCGATTTTTAATGTATATAGGACAAAATATGACATGGTAACAATCTTCAATAATTTCAACATATCTAACAAAGAATAGAAAAAAAAACAAAACTGTCTATAGTCTGTTTATTTTATTTTTGTAGTGTACATTTTCGCACTTACTTACATGCGATGGTAAGATTCATTTTCTTAAGAGCTATATTTTAATTTTGTTACAAATACAACTTTATAATATTACAAAG